TCTATCTATCTATCTATCTATCTATCTATCTATCTATCTATCTATCTATCTATCTATCTATCTATCTATCATCTCTATCTGTCTGTCTGTCTGTCTGTCTATCTATCTATCTATCAGATTGTTGGGGGCGATATGCTGACTGTAAACCGCTTAGAGAGGGCTGAAAGCCCTATGAAGCGGTATATAAGTCTAACTGCTATTGCTAACTGCTATAAGCAGTATATAAGTGTTGTTGCTATTGCTATTCGTTGCCTGACAACATACAGCTGTATCAGGAGACTTGATACCAATGCATTCCCTCGCTTTCCTTTCTCACGTCTTAATAACCCTGGGAAGATCCCGAGGTGGAGGTCCGTTGGCGGGGGGGTCACTTGGACGCAGGGTCCCAGCAGACCCTTCCATGCCGTGGGGCTGCAGTGCCAGAAGTCCGAGGCTAATTGCTCCCCTTCTCTCCCCCGCAGGCTGAGGCTGAAGTTCAAGCGAGGCAGCCTCCCAGCCATGATGCCCCTGGAATTTGTGGGTTGCGTTGGTGGCTGCGACGAGAATCTCAGGCAGATCCTAGGCCTGAAGTACCTGCAAGGCCCAGCCAGTGCTCCAAGTCAGCCGAGGAATCTCCCCGCGGAAGCCCCCGGCTCCCTTAACGGCACGATCCGCAGCCGTGGCCAGCGCGTGCTCGCTCCCCTGCCCCCTCCTCCTGCACCAGCACACAGGGCTCCCCCAGCAGTCGCCAGCGCGGCCGGGAACGATGCCGTGATGTGCAACTGTGGCGAGGCGGCCCTGCTCCTCACCGTCCGCAAAGAAGGCCCCAACCAAGGCAGGCAGTTCTACAAATGCGGCACCGGCAGCTGCCGATTCTTCCTGTGGGCCGAGCAGCAGGAGCCCGACGACAGGCCAAACGGGGCACCTGGGTTCCTGGCACCGGCACCGGGCTCTTCCCTGCCAGGGCAAAGGAGCTCAGCAGGGCCCAGGAGGACGGGCTCTGATCCCGGACCCGGCGCTGGCTCAGGAGGCCCCCTGTGCAGGTGTGACCAGCCCGTGGTGACCAGGACAGTCCAGAAAGAAGGGCCCAACAAGGGGCGCCAGTTTCACACCTGCTCCAAGCCGAGGGAGCAGCAGTGCGGCTTTTTCGAGTGGGCGGACGAGAGCTTATTCCCAGGTAAGGGAGAAGTGGGCATCTTGGGATTGGCATAAGCAGGGTTGGTGGGCGGGCACGATGGGGCATGCAACCAAAGGAGGAGGGGAGTGTTGGCATAGCTTTCTGGGAGGGGGCATGACAAGAGGGTAGAACAGGGGTCTCCAACCTGGGCAACTTTTAAGACTTGTGGACTTCAAATCCCAGAATTCCACAGCCAGCATGGCTGCCTCGGGAATTCTAGGAACTGAAGTCAACAAGTCTTACAATTACCAAGGTTGGAGACACACACACACAGCCTTAAAGAGAGGAGACCCTAACCCTGCCGATTGAAGCTGGCTGGGGAATTCTGGGAGTTGGAAGTCCATAAATCTTAAAAAGTTGCCAAAGTTGGACACCTCTGGGTTAGAAAGTTTTAGCTTTAATCTGGCAAGATTCCACCTATTGGGTGTCAGCAAATAGCAATAGCAGTTGGACTTATATAGCGCTTCACAGGGCTTTCAGCCCTCTCTAAGCGGTTTACAGAGTCAGCATATCGCCCCCA